CTTACTACTTCTTTATAAGAATTACTCATTTTATGAAATGTAAGTTCTCTTCATTTTCTCTTCTCATAAATAATAAAACAAAAAGGTTTACTTAAAAAAATAAAGTGTTATTCAACCATTGTTTGTTCAGCACTTTCATTTGGATAACTATTTTGAGTTGTTTCTTGCTGAGATTCCCATCCTAATTCTTCTTTAATTTTACTTGTCTCTAAATCTTTTAACTCTTTACGTTCTTTCTCAACACTCTCAACTAATTCTGCTACATTTATTTCTACACCAAATAAATTATTATTTAATTGTATATTTGTTTCTTCATTTTCTATATCAATTGCTAGTTGAACAACATGTTGAAGTGATTTTTGAATTGCATTTGATGAAGCAATAGGGATTTTTATAACCATTTCCATTTGACTTTCATTTACTCCGTTTACTTGTACAAAACACCTCTTTTCTTTTCTACAGTATGCTGTTTGAAGTAATGAACTACATAATTCTTTTTTGACAGTAGAATAAGGAAATATTTCTGCGTCAGGAACTAATGAATATTCTGTTTCAATTAATGCTTGATTAATTTTTTCACCTATTTCTCTCAAGAAGTTACGACTTGATTTATACTCTTTTTCTGTATAATCCCAACTACCTTTTCTAAATAATTCAACTTTTTCTTTAATAACTTCTAATAATGCATCATCATCTAATAATGAAAGACCTATATTTTTACGTTCAACGTGAACACTTTGATCACTTGGTTTTGTTGTATTAGAAGTATTAACATATTTATGTGGGTTTAAATCTACTTTATTACCATTGATATAACTATCTATTCCAAATTGACTTGCAGGAAGTAACTCTGCAATTTTATCAATAAAATGTTCATCCTCTACAACAGGATTTCCTTCTAAATGAATGTCTGTCAACGAGAAAAGTTTACTAAATGCACGTTTCATATTTTGAAAAGATTCAATCAAATTATTTCTTACACTTAATCTTTGAAGATTAAAAAATGGACGACATCCATCTAATGAGGTTAGTAAATTATTATCAATAACTAATTGTGAGATTGAACCAACAAATTGAATATCAATGAACTCTATTACATTTGTACTTACATCAATCAAATCCATTGGTCTTTCTCTAATATTCTCTAATACTGCAATTTGGTTGTTTGACAAATCAAGTACTTTGAGATGTGGAACTGTTAATGCACTAAAAACATCTTCTGGGATTTTTGTAATTTCACAATTTGATAATTTTAGAACTTCTAATTTTTCCCATACTTCTTCTCGTTTTTTGAGTATATTGAAAAAATTATCTGATTGGGTTTTAGTCATATTCCAAACTTTAAGTTCTTTTAAACGACATTGAAGAGTATTTGGAAGATGCCAAGGTTGTTTTATTGTTATTTCAAGTGAAGAGACATTTGTCTTTTCAAGAAATGATAGTTCTAAAATAGTGTCTTCTATTTCTTTTGGTTTGTCATCATCTCCAATTGATAATTTAGATATTTGAGATAACATCATTGAAAGAGTTGGGTCTATTGTTTGTGGGGCACAAATTGTATTGAGAAATACTACCTGTGTACAATTAATACAAACATATCCATTTTCATTTTTATTTTCTACTGTTTTATAAAATAAGTCAAGTTGAAGTTTTAATGTTTCCAATAATGAACTACTTGAATTTTTGGGTTTTAACAACTCACCTAATTTTGAAATCATTCTTTGTTTATCTTTCTTTTTAAGATGAGTAATTTTTAAGTTCTTTTTTATTACTCTTTATTATTTTAACAACAAATAATTTTTACTAGTAACTCAAAAATGAATTAAAATGAAAAGAAAAGACAAATACAAAAAAAAGAACTAAATGAAAAGACAGTTGTATTAAAGGACCAAAAAGATATTGAAAAAGAGACTATAATCTTCAAAAAAGTGAAGCAAGTACATTGAACTAAATGAAGTTGTATACTAAATATGAGATTTGTATTCGAAGAATACACTTTAAAACGTTATGTAAAAATGAGTGTTGTGTTAAATGGAGAAAAGGTATTTGTCCATGGAATAAAGGAAAACAAACAATTAAAGGGTTTTGTTTTGGTTCTTCATTTGAAACTTCAACGTTATTGATTCAAATTATTTCAAGAAGTCATATGAAAATAACAATCAATATCATTAATGAGAGTTACAAAGGAAAGATCATTATAACTAATAAAAAGGGAAATTGGGTATGGACAGTTTCAGGTGATATTGATGACGTTGAAGGAAATGTTACCAAAACATATTGGAACCAACTCAAAGGAACCAAGTCAGAACAAAACACAAAAGATACCAATGAGAGCAAAGAAGATTTACATCTTAAGACAAAAAAAATTGATCCTGACCAATTATTATTAAAAGAAATGCTTGTCAGAGATACGTATCAAATTAGAAATGAAGACATTACTCCTAAAATTAAAGAAATGTTTGTTTCACAAAAATATCAATTGGAAACTTCTATCAAAGAAAAACGATTTGATGAAGTGATTAAAGTTTTAAAAGAAGATAGTATTTGTAAAATGAATTTAGAGCTTTGTCGTCAACTAATTAAAAAAGTAAATTGTCAAGGGAATGAGGTGTTTTGGCTTGGATGTTTAATTCAATTTAGAAAAGAATTAGTAAGGAATGACACATTAAACTTAAAGGAAGTAATTGTCATTGGTAAGATTGTTGGAGAAATTGAAGGGGTATTATCTATGATAGAAAATTCGATTGCTAACTGTTGTAAGATAACTGCTAATGTATTAGCCGATAGGTTAGTGACTTATATTGTTGAAGAAACAAAATACTTTAAAATTAATGGAATTATACAAGAAAAGGTTGTTGGAGAGATTAAGAACTTACTGCTTCAAGTAAAACAAGAAATGAGTATGACTAAAAATGAAAATGACTACCCTTTTGTGATGCAAATGTTTAATAATAAGGTCACAAAAAGAATTGAAATGTTTGATTCTTGGGAGATACTTGTTCTCAAATATTCACTAGATGAAATCAGTCAGTGGTGTTATTCAAATAATATCGAGTTTACTATTTATCAAGAGGCATTACACTCTAAGTTAATTCAATCATAATGGAATTTACCAATGTTTTTATACAAATGTTTGTTTATTTCACAAGTTTAATAAAAACACAAAAAAATATTTATTAGTGTATTTTATCATATAAATTGTTTTTTTTTAGTTTCCTCAAAATCTTATTTTTATTATTAGATTTACTTCTAACTAATTTTTTAAAGTAATTATAGAATAAATTCATAACTCAAAACGTCAAAAACAAACAATATTTTTATGATTTCTAAAAATAAACTATAAAAAAAATGATAAATTATATAAATATGATTTTTTATTGAAATACCTAAAAATAATAAAATTTTCCTTAATTCTTTTTAATTGTTCAATATAATTTTATTCATTTAAATATTCACAGATAACCACGATTTTATTTTTAAACTTACTACCACTACTCGTTTTTAAAGTCATATTGTTCTTTAGTTTTTATCATTAGAAATGCCCCTAAATTAATCAAAAGAGGCAAGTAAGTTCTTAATCTAACTCAAAAAATAACTATCATTGTTTCTATTTAGTTATATTATTTTGTTGTAAGTCTCTTAAAGGATTTTTGAAGAGGTTATGTTTTCTATTCAAAAAGTATATTTATAAACAAAAAATAATATTTTAGTAATGAATAATGAAAGTATTGATTTTTTTTATATTGAAAAGAGTTCATATTCACTTATACTTAGACTCTTTTATTGACTGGAAAGAAGAAAAGTAAAAGATTAGTAAGTAGTAAAAACAACTATGAAAATTCATAAACGTTGATGTAGTATTCATTTTGAAAGTGTATAACTTTTTAGTACAGATTTTATTTCTAAAAAATAGTATATACAGGGAATTAATTTATAAAATAATTTAAAAAAGTACTATTCATTTAATAAATTACTATCAATCATTGTCATTTGAACAGACACAAATAATATACCATTTTAGTATCTCATGAGTTGTTCTGAGATAACAGAAGATAGAACATTGATTTTCTTTATTATATAAATTTATGGTATGAATGTTAATTAGGTATAATAAGCTTTTACTATTTAAGGTACAACCAAAGTGTATCGTTAATTTGTATTTTGATTGCTTCTTCCTTAATTTCTTCTCATTTATTCTTCTCAAGTCAATTTTTTTTGATTAAATTTTTTTTATAAAATTATTATAGTTTTATTATAATATTATGATAGTTTTTTTGTTATTAGAATAAAATTTTAAAAAATAACAAAAAAATGTGGTTATATAACAATTATTTAATTTAAGAATTAAAAAATCATTCGACTTTACCACATGGCGAATCACCACATGATACTTAATTGCAAACCCTACATCCCAAATCAACAACTGTTATATGGAAAGAAAGAAGACGTGTTATGTTTATTCCCCGATAAAAATAGTTTTGAAAATGAACGAATTAAAAGAAAAAAAGCACTTCTTCAGAAACAAGAAGATATTAAATTTTGTACAGAAGAACTTGAGATAACTCAAGTGTATAATAGTCCTCCAATTATCCCATACAAATGAACTAAAAAATAGTCTTTTTCAATGAGATTAACTGGCGTGTATTATGTATACTATAATTCAACACCAAGTACAAATATATTTGAATATTTTTTTATTTTTAACAAAAACCCTTTTATTTTAATTATTAATTTTAATAAAAAACTATCGAAAAAAACCTCCATAATAATATTTCTATTTTTTATTTTCTTCTTTCATTAATTATTTTATTCTTTATATTAGCGTGTGTCATACCAGAAATGAAGACGAAAATTAAAATGTCTATTGTTTCTTTAAGTTAAAACCTCGCAAGATTAATGAGTGGCTGTCTGAGAGAAGACATAATGTCTTCTACTCCGATTATCCCATCGTACATTTTTTTTTAAACTTATAAAAAAAATTATTAGATATAAAAGATTGATAGAAGAGAAAGTTGTTGGGTAGTTTTTTATTGATGTTATCCAAAGACTAAAGTTGAAAATTTGATGATGTGAATCTTTGTTCAAAAAAATAAAGAACAAAAGAAATCTAAAAAAAACATTAAAAAAACTAACAAATTCAAAAAATGAACAATTGGAGCACAATTCAAAGTAAAGCATTAATACGATGGATTAATTTTGTTAATAATGAAAGTGTTGTCTCTGTCTCAAATCTTTCAAGTGTTAATTTAATAGAGTTATTAGAAAATTTAAGTGGAACAAAATGTCCGTACAAATATGAAAAAATACCAAAAACAAACTTTGCTAGAATTGAGGGGTTTGATTGTGTTATTCAGTTTGCAAAATCGTTAAATGTAAGAATTGTTGGTATTGATGGATTTGACTTATCTGTGGGAAATGAAAAAACATTTCTAGCATTGATCACTGGTATTTTAAATCGTTTTATTGGGTTAAGTTCTAGAGAAGTGAAATTAATACACCAATGGATAGCCACTTTAGTTGGACAGCCTATTCGTTCAATGCGTGAATGGGCAACAGTTCCAATTCTTGGAAAGTTATCAAAATGTCAAGTACATCCATTACAGAGATTAGAAAAATTAGGAGTTCCGATGTTAGTTGATGAAGAAGATTTAGGAAAAGAGGAGTTATCAATGAATATTTATTTAGTGTATTTGTATGAAAAAAGAAAAGAGATTGAGGCACTGAATAAAGAGATGATTATTGACTTAACTGGAGATAAAAAAGTTGTTGAAGAAACTGTCGAAGAACTTAAACAAATTAAAAGTGGAATTATCCCTAAAGGTATAGAAGAAATTAAAGAAATAAATAAAAACGAATTAACTTCTGTTAATGAAATTGAACTAAAAGAGGATAATGACTCTACTTCTACGTTTAGTTCAAGTGAGCTTGATAGTGGATTTGTCTCTCCAATGGTATCTGTTACAAGAGAAATACCGACAAACAATTGTGTTGAATTAATTGCATTAGAAGCTTTAAAAAAAGAAGAAAGTTTTAAACATGAAGTTATTGAACCTGACTTTGAGTTAAAAGAAGTTGCAAACAATTTAGAATATATTGACAAAGAAGAGTCAACCGAAGAAGATGAAGAAGAAAAGGAACAACTGGAAGATCAAAGTAATGAAATAGAAAATATAGAAAAAGGGTCTAATAATAACACTACTAACACTGTTCTAAACCATACAGAAGAGAGTACTCTAGAAAGTAATCAACCAAATAATATAAATAAAAATTATGTTGATGATAAATCTAAAGAAAAAGATAAATCAACTCATGAAGAAGAACAAACTATTCCTAATATTCAAAATCAGCAAATTAGTGATCAAAATAATGTCTTTGAACAGAAAAAAGAGAAAGATACTATTTTAGAGCAAGAAATTATTATAGAAAATAAACAAATTAAAGAAGACAATAACCAAATCAAAAATGATACTAAAACAGAACAACAAACAACAGAGACAATCACCCAAAATACATTTACTCAGTCTGGACAAAAGGAAAATAAAAAAGAAGTCTCTAGTTTAATAGAAACAAATAAAATCTTAGAAGAAAGTCAAGATGAATTAAACGAAAATAAAGTAACTGTTAAAGTTCACCAACAAGA